CTGATATATTTACTTTAATCTTACATTAGATATAAATACGAATTCGAATTTTCGGTAAGACGTAGTAAAATATCTAGCCCCTCATCGAAATTAACATGCCGGTTTCGTTTTGCCATAACTTTGTCAATTTTTGGCCTGTTTAAAATCCGATTTTTTAAATAGCAGAATTGGTTCAAAAGAAATTCAGCCGAGAGAGAGAGATGAAAGGAGAAAAAGGTTGACAGGTAGAAAGATTGGGATGGAGATAAATAATTAGTTAGATAGATAGAGAGAGAGAGAGAGAGAAAAAAGGAAAGATAATGATAGGTAGATAGAGAAACAAACATCAGAGATCAGAAAATATGGAGAATGAGAGAGATAACTAATTGGATAGATAGATAGAGATAAAAAAATGGAGAGAGAGAGAGAGAGAGAGAGAGAGAGAGAGAGAGAGAGAAAGGTAAAAAAGAGAGGGATAGAAAGAGAAAAAATGGAAAGATAGAAGTTAAACAAATAGAAAATAGATTGATAGATAGATAGGTAAATAAATAGATAGAGATAGATAGGTAAAGAGAGAGAGAAAGAGAGATAGAGACAGAGAGAGAAACGTAAGAGAAAGAAATCGATAGAAAGAGAAAAAATGGAAAGATAGAAGTAAAACAGATAGAAAGTGGACAGATACATAAATAGATAGAGATAGATAGCCTTTTTGAACCCTTTTTCTTTATTGTACTGTTTATAAATGCATTTTTTATTTCAAAAGTATTATCTTACAAAATACTGAAGGAAAGGAAAAGTATTCCAGACCCCACAAAACATTCCCTCACAGTAATTGAAATTAACATTTAATTAGAAACAGATAATATTAATTAATTCAAAGTTTTTGTGATAATGCAGATATTTTGCTAACTGCAATAACTTAGGCGATAAGAATCAAGCCGATCTTGCATATTTATGGGAGAGTGAAATTGTTAGAAAGCAAATACGGATTTTTTCAAAAGGTTATTTGTCAACTAATGGGCTTTTTGTGTGCATTAAAGGAAATTTACATGTCGGTACACAAAGTTGGGCTTTTAAGTTCTTAAGATCCACAAACAAAAATGAGACGCTTTCACTTCAAAAGACCCTTGAAAATTTCGTACTCTTTTTTTTCTGACCCACAGGCTACGTTTTATCTCAACTAATTTATTTGTAAATCTTTGATAGAAGAGAAAAATGAGTTTTGATTACGTAAATTCAGTTTTTCCCTCAAAAACGTTTTTTCTTGTTGAATACTAAAGAAGTGTACTTTGATATAATGATTTGTCAGAAATGATTACTCGGATACACAGAAAATAGAACAGTCATATTTGAATATTTAGATTAATAATACATTGTTCAAGTTTTGTGTAAAAAAACTGATAAAAATATATAAGAAGAAAAGATATGATTTTAAAACAGAATGAAAGTATATAACTTGAAAATGGTTGGCAAACCAATATAAAATTTATTTTTTTCAAAGATTTTCAAAACGCAATGTCATTATTTTTATTAGTTCAAACAGGAAGAAAAGACATGTTATAAATTTCTTGCTTAAAAAAATTGAAGCGTCTGACGGACCAACTCAGCAATGGAAGCTAGACCAAAATGATCGGAAATGAACAATTTCGGGTTCATCACCCCGTGAAACGCACGAGAAATGTCACAATTTTTGCCAAACATTTTCAGCTTCTTCTGTCACAGTCTCTCTCATTCTCTCTTCTCACTTTTTATGATCTACCTATCTATTTGCCTATCTATATATTTATCGATCTATCTGTCTTGTTATCTATCTTTCATCTATCCATGCTCTCTCTATCTATCTATCTATCTTTCTCTATATGTCTATCTGTCTATCTAAATCAACCAATCTATATATCCATCCGTTTCTTTTCCTCTTTATCATTCTATCTATAGTTCTAGCTATTTAATGACCTTTTTCTCAATCTTATTTTCTCTTCTATTTATATTTCTATATACCTATCTATCCGTCTCTCTCACTACCTCTATTTTTCTCTCTCAGGGTAACTCATGAATTCTCTCTGATTTCATTTTTCTCTCTGTTGATCTATTTATCAATCCATCTCTCTCTCTAAGAGAAATAAGAAAAATAATCCTATCAGTTGTAATGATTATAGAGGAATTAATATTATATGTGTCATGGCAAAAGTATTTGAAAAAATTATCTTTAGACAATTACAACAACATATTACTAGAAACAATATCCTTAATGAATATCAATGTGGATTTAGACTGGGTTACAGCACAGAGGCTGCATTGATAAAGGTTATGGATGATTTAAGAAAAAATATAGATGAGAGAATGGTCTCACTTTTAGTCTTAATTGACTTTAGGAAGGCTTTCGACTCTGTGCAGCATACTCTATTATTGGCAGTCCTTAAGTCACTACATTTCTCTGATGGCACGATTAAATGGTTTTCAACATACTTGATAAACAGGTATCAATGTGTTAAGGATGTAGATGGAGAGGTTTCAGACTGGACAAGGTTATTATCGGGAGTTCCTCAAGGAAGTAATCTATCAGCGTTGCTTTTCATTTTATTCATAAACCAAGTTTTCACATGTTTTAAAAACGAGAGCATGATGTTCGCAGACGACCTTCAAGCATATAATCAGATAACAAAGAAAACGTGCATCTAATGGTTGATAAGATGAATAATGACTTGAAAGAACTAAACAGATGGTGTGAACAATATAGGGTATCAATAAACTATGATAAATGTCAAGCAATGCTGATAGGAACTAGAAGAAACTTAAACTATATAAATGTAAAAAATGTAAATATCTTAATAAATAACCACAAAATACTGCTGTCCAAATCATTAAAGAATCTTGGTGTCACAGTAGATGAAACATTGTCTTGGTCAGAACAAACCAACGATATTTGTAAAAAAACTTTCCAAAGCCTTTGTCAGCTGCGAAAAATCCAGATTGATCTTCCACCTGAGGTAAAATTACAAATTGTAAAATCTATGTTGTTCCCAATCTTTGATTATGCTTCCCTATGCTACTCTAATATAAGTAAAAAAAATTTAGAAAAACTACAAAAAGCACAAAATGCTTATATAAGATATGTTTATAATATCGAATACTTTGAACATGTCACACCATATTATGCCAAAGCAAAAAATTTAAAAATTAATGAAAGAAGAGCACTAATACTCTCGATGTTCTTAATAAAATTATTAAAAAGGCAAAAACCATCATATCTGATAAATAACTTTAAATTGTATAAACCTACCCATGACAAGTATACCAGATATGATAAACATAAATTTATATTGCCTAAAATCAGAACTGCTATCTACAATGCATCTTTTCTAGTAAAAGCAATCAATAATTATAATAAAAATAACCTGTACAATTTACTACTTCTACCATATGTAAAAGCGAAATCTATATTAAAAGAAGAGTTCCTGACAAAATACAATGATAGATAAAAATGTAATTACAATATCCTCGTGTTATATATGTATATACTGTACTACTATACTAGACTGAATTATTTACTATTGTGTTAAGATTATTTATTACTAAATTTGCTATTTATTTATTATTAACACTATTTATTATTTATTTATTTGATATTTAATACTAGTGTACATTAAATTATCTTTGTTATATTTAAGCCATAATTAGAAAGGCACCTTGTAAAAATGAAAATTATAATTAAGAAATTACGATACATTGATATAATTATCTGTTAGAGCTGAATAAAACAAAACGTTAACATTAAGTTTCCTGACTTCGGTAAGAGAGGACCCTATGGTCTTATGTAAGCTTCAGGTTAATAAACTATTCATTCATTCATTCATTCATTCTCTCTCTCTTCTCTCTGTATTTCGTTCTGTCACAATCTTTTGTTTCTTCCTTTTTGTCTATTTCACTATCAATCTACCTATCTATCCATTTCTCTCTCTCTCTTTCTCTCTCTCTCTCTGTCTATCTATATCAATCAATCTATATATCTATCCATTTTTTTCTCTCTCTATCATTCTAATCATTGTTATAATTATTTAATGACCTCTTTCTCACTCTCTCTTTCTCTTCTATTTATATTTCTATCTACCTATATATCTCTCTCTATTTTTTCTTTTTCTCTCTTGCTATGTAATGAGAGCTCTCTCACTTCCTCTTTCTCTCTGTTGATCTATCTATCTATCCATCGCTTTCTTCTCTCTTTTTCTTCCCTCACACTTTCTTTTTTTTCTTTCTGTCTATTTCACTATCAATCTAGCTATCTATCCATTTCTCTCTCTCTTTCTCTCTCTCTCTCTCTCTCTCTCTCTCTCTCTCTCTCTCTCTCTCAATCTAACTATCGTTCTAGTTATCTAATAGCTCTTTCTCACTGACTTTTCCTCTTATTTTTATTTCTGTGTATCTAACTGTTTTCCACTCTCTCTTTCTCTCTNAGGGCTCAAAGTGTTTGTCTTCTGTGTAATTGTGCCATCCTTGCGTGTCGTGTTGAGAGTGTGTGTATAATGTACAACATAATTTACTTTAGTGAAAGAACGGTCCATAAGACTTTGCGTAAATAAAACGTTTAATCAACCAATCAATCTCTTTCTCTTTCTCTCTCACCTCTCAACAAAATTGTCTGGGCAATTTTTCTTTGTATGCATAATTAAATTATTTGATATGTATATTTTTTTATAATAAATATTTTTACTCTACAAAACTTCACCTTTTCGATAAGTTAGATACGTTTGTCTAGATGACACATAAAATTGGTGATTTTTTTTATTTGGTTGTAATTCATTTTTATTATACAGTAGTAAATCACACGTCATTGTTTTGTCCCGAAAGGTTTACGGTCGCGATACGAGCCGTACCAGAGCGGTCCGCGCGGCATCGTTCTTTCATTTCGATTACTGGACTATATCAGTCATGTTTAGGCCAAGTGTCGGCGAATATGGCATCGTCCTTTTCCGCTTCTCCCGTCCCGTCGTTGCCGGAGGGCAGTGCGCATCGATAGGATAGGGAGCCGGCCGTCTAGTCGCAGTTATCTCTATGTGATGAAAAGGGGTTATCTCTCATGGGTCACTTAGATCTGATATACAAACCGGGATTTAAGGAGTTCGAGCCCGCTCACGGCCTCAGTGACCGTTGTGCCAGTTACCTGACAGTGTCCGCTAATTTATTTGTTTTCATACGGTTTGTTTACTATATGAAAGCCCTTGAGATGATTTTTATCATGGATTGTTATACCAAGTTGGCGATAGTCGGCGGACTCATATTATCAACCGTCTCCCTCCTATGGCCGACCATTTTGTCCACTCTTATGTACAAGGTATGTTTTTCTTTGATTATTCATATGCCTATGCATTCATCGACACATTTTGACCCAAAATCAAAATCAAAAAAGTGAGAATTCAATTGAATGCATAGATTCTAATAACAATGGCAACTAAGTTGACATTGACTTCAATAATCAATGTCAAAATCATATTTTCCTGTATTAAAAGACTGTTTTAAATTATAAAAAAATAAAAATCTTGTATAAATAAAATTTTAAAACGTGTATGATTAGTGCAATAGAGAAGTTTTTGAAGTTGAGTTATTGGTTCAAATAAAAGGAAGGACTTAACCTTGACTATTTTTGGTTTTTTTTATGTCTAATACTTTGATACTAGACCTATAATTTTTTTCTTTTTTTTCTTTAAGGAGTTGAAGTTGTCGCCCGGTTCGAAAAGTTTCCAGCACTGGGAGGAAACCCCGGTCCCGATGTACATAGACATTTATTTTCACAACTGGACCAACCCGGAAAAGATCCTGACGGAAAAGCCGATGTTCATGGAAATGGGGCCGTACAGATTTTAGTGAGTTATTTTTATTACTAACAACTATAACGAAAAATCTTTAAAAGCTAAAATTAGCAGTATTCACACATAAAATTTATTATTAATTCTTATAGTGTCTGTTTGACAAAAATGTACGAATAAATCTGCCAGTGTCGAAATATAATTCCGATTTTATAAATCAAATAATAATCCTTTCTTAGGTTTGCCCTGACAAACACAGTTGTCTACTTACCCATGTACGTGCAACCAAAACATAACAGTCTAACATGTAAATATGGCCCATACAATAATAGTGCGTACGCTTTGGACTGTAATTCAAATAGAAACACACGCTGACAAACACACAAACATTTGTTTGAAAATAAACAGAATAAAGGAAGAACGAGAAAAACCACAAGATAACAGGTACATTTGTCCTAACATTGCGTGAAATTTGAATTTTTCATATTTTGATAATCTCAGCAGACTTTTTTCTAAATAGCTGATTCAACTGAGCAAGCTTATTTTTGATATATTTTTTAGGGTTTTTTTTTAAATCAGCAATAAATACACACTCAATACCCATGGTTTAGTTTTGAAATAATTAAATATTTAAAAATCTGTACAATTAATTTATTTCTCAGCATAATTTTTTTATAATAGATGAATGCTTCTTGTACTTTAATAAATGCGTGATTATTTCTTAGTATCAAATCTTAAAGGCATCAAGGGAGCACAATAAGCACATTTTTATACTTCTACGATTGTGATTTTCCTAGTCAGGAGATCCTGATCCTGCGTTTTTTGCGATACCCTAGTCAACAATAAAGAATTAAAAGTGATCTACTGTTTGAGCAATGACGAAAATTAAATTAACTGAGTTTGAAGATATCTGAGCGTCCAAAATTGACATGGACTAAATACTTATCTCGTCCAACAAATAAGATACGGAATCTGGCAAGTTCTGTTAGACTTTGTAATATTTTGTCATCGGTTCACGTCACCGTTAAGTCTGCTGTTCGAAAAGTCCCTATCTTTTGCGGTATTTGCATGCTGAGTGATGTGGATGACCATTTTGGTAGGTCACGGATTGGGACCCAATTTTTTTTTGGTGTTCTTCTACACTCCAAAATATCGAACGGGAATCCGCCACTTCTTGTGAATAGGCCTTGGTTTGGCTAAAAAAGGTGAAATTTTCGATTTTTAAAATATTTTTATTTCACCATTCTACCTGCTCAAGTCAACTATGTGAATATATCATTTAACGTAATTTTTTATGTAGATCGCAATAAAAATATAATAAAAGCTATAAAAAACTTTCGAAAAACTAAATATTTTTCAAGTAAACTTGGTCAAAAAAAAAATTCGTCAAAAAATATACAATTTTGTTTTAGCGCCTGTAGAGATGCCCTAAATATAAGTTTTTGTTTGGAATTAAATAAATCAATTTTTTGACCTCTAAAATTTTTCCGATTTTTAAGAAATCGTTATCGGAATATTCTGATATTGCAATAGGCATGTAAATCACGCAGGATAATAGTACACCAAAAATAAATTAAATAATGCAAGCTCTAACATTTTTCTCAAAACTAAGGGGACCGATTTTCATGGTTGATAATTCGTAATAAAGAAATTGTCAAGTGCAATAATAATTATAAAGTCTTGTTAAAGTCGTGCTGTTTAAGATCCTAGGTCTAGAATGAGGTAGTTTAGAAAAACATCTTTTTCATTTGCCAGTTTCGACTTTTATTTGGGTCATCTTCAGGGCATAAAGTGTGGTGCTTTTCTTGTGGTGACATATTGGTTTTGTGTGAAGGTGTTTTTCTAAACTACCTCATTCTTGACCCCCCCCCTTCACAACTTCAACAAATTATGAAACAACTGGTCAGTAAGAAACACACATAAATAAATAATTTTATGCACTTCAAAAAAATACGAACATCTCGGATTATAAATTATTGTAAACGGTTAACAAAAGTATAAATTTTCCTGATATAAAATAAATAACTGAATATTTTGATGGTGCTGGAGCATAAAAATGAAATAAAATAAAATACAAATTGCGGGGTAATAAACTACAAAATTTGTATGAGTGAGTGTATTTATTAGAGTGAATGGAGAGTGGATGACGGTGGAAGCTGAGTACGTGACTTGGGTCGATGGCGGAATATTTAAAGTACCCCATCGACCTCAATTAGTGATTGTATGCAGATCGATGGAGGAATATCGAGTACTCCATCTACAAAACTACAATGCCCAAACTCACAAATTAAATATGGAACGACAGCTCCCTCCAAAATATTAATAATAATAATAATAAAAAGTATTCTTTAGTTCAGTCCGAAGTAGCTGCCAATAGGATATTAAATAATACGCCAAAAATAAATTAAATAATGCAAGCTCTAACATTTTTCTCAAAACCTAGGGGACCGATTTTCATGGCTGATAATTCATAATAAAGAAATTGTCAAGTGCAATAATAATTATAAAGTCTTGTTAAAGTCGTGAGGTTTAAGATCCTCGGCCTAGAATGAGGTAGTTTAGAAAAACACCTTATTCATTTATTTACCCGTTTCGACCTTTATTCGGGTCATTTTCAGGGCCTGGGTCAATTACAAAGCATATGTCGATTGAAAAAAATACGATTTAAGATGTAAATATGAATTTTGAACCAAATATTTCATACTCGCATAAAATGTGGTGCTATTCTTGTGGTGTCATATTGGTGTGGAACGTGAATTTGTATTCTGCTGTTTTTATATGATTGTAGGACGCTGTATATCTGGGAATGTTAGTCACAATCATATAAAAACAGCAGAATACAAACTCACGTTTCACAACATTTTCACGCAGCACCAGTATGACACCACAAGAATAGCACCACGTTTTATGTGAATATGAAATACTTGGTTCAAAATTTATATATACGTGTGTAGTGATGAGTGACCGTTAATCGATAATTATTCAGAAATCGTGAGATGCGGTCTGGTGTGATGTAGGTTTCAGAAATAACACGACACGCAAGAATGGCACAATTACACGGATACATAGAAGACAAACACTTTGAGCCCTGAAGATGATCTCAACAAAGATCGAAACGTTGGCAGGATAAAGAAAATGTTTTTCTGAAACCTACATCACACCAGACCGCATCTCACGATTTCTGAATAATTTATATTTACATCTTAAATCGTATTTTTCTTTCAAAGAAGTTCTTTTTTTATGATTTTCTTTAATTGAAATGTAAAGGATGGTAATATATGATTGTTAATTTAAATTAAACGATTCTTTGACCATTAGGTTTTTTGGATCCTAAAATTTTAAAGAGAGGTCAGACGTTTTGCATGTGATAGTATGTTATTAGAAACATTATCGATTTCTTCATTTTTAGGTTCATTGTTAGGTTGTAAAAAAGTTAAATGTTATTTGTTAACAGTGAAAAAAGGACGAAAGTGAACCTGACGTGGAATGAAAACGGCACCGTGAGCTATCGGCAAACCCGCCACTGGTTTTTCGACGCCGAACATTCCAACGGATCCCTCCAGGACAACGTCACAACAGTCAACATGATACCAGTCGTAAGTTGAAAATTTCCAATTTATTCCAGCGTTCCAGTTCGACACATCCGGCCAGTGACAATCACTTTAATTAATAACGCCCGATCAGGTCGAATTTTATGGGGCGGCGATTTCTCAACAAAACCGCGTCCAATTTGCCAAATGAGACGTATTCGCGGCTCCCACTAGTCGACAGATATATATTTAGAAACGCACGTTAATTGTTAATATGTTGATTAATGCTCGCGTCCCCTGGCCCTCGCCTACAACGCAGTTAGCTCACACAAAGTTAATTAACAGCAAGATACACGGAAACTGAGGAATTTAAAGCTTGAATAAATTAATTGCTTAATAAAGAACCATTTCTCCAAGAGATTATATATATTTCTATTAACAAATTTACTTCACTTGCGAGAAATATCGTGACAATAACCATACAACTCCATATAATTTTTATAAAAACAACACCCAACAAGGCAATAAGCTAATTGATTATTAAATCATCCTCCTCCACAGATCTTGTCAATTAAAAGAATTAAAGCGTTCCTTTATCTCGATTAAGCTTTTATTGAAATATTAATTTTAAATTTAATTACCCCGAGGAATATCGAGTACTGAGTATGAATGTGGGGTGTAACTTTATAGCGTGAGAGGTGGCTGAACCCCCCCCCCCGCAATCACCTGAGGAATACCGATTAGGTGCTCTGGGGTAGAGTGAATGAATATGCGATTTATTAGCGTAAATGAAGAGGTTTATCCCCAATTATCCCGCGGGATATCGAGTACTCTGGGATAGTAGGAATGGAAGGATTTGTCCATAATTTACCCCCCCCCACAGGAATATCAGGTAATCTTGGGTAATTTGAATGTAGTATGGTGTATGAATGTAATTTATTAGAAATGTGTGATGTTTGGTGACCGTTAGCCAGTGATTATTTGGAGATAGTGAGATGCGGTCTGGTGTGATGTAGCTTTTAGGAAAACGTTTTCTTTATCATGCCTACATTTCGATCTTTAGATGATCTCAATAAAGATCGAAATTTTGGTATGATAAAGAAAATGTTTTTCTAAAACCTACGTCACAACAGACCGCACCTCACGATCTTCAAATAGTAATTTATTAGCGTGAATGGAAGGATTTGTGGTGGGTAGTTTGAATGTAGTCTGGTGTGTGAATGTAATTTATTAGCGTGAATGGAAGGGTTTTTCGACAATTACACCTAGGAATATCGAGTAATGGTGGGTAGTTTGAATGTAGTCTGGTGTGTGAATATAATTTATTAGTTATTCAGAAATCGTGAGATGCGGTCTGGTGTGATAGGTTTCAGAAAAACATTTTCTTTATCGTGCCAACGTTTCGATCTTTATTGAGATCATCATCAGGGCCTGGGATTTAAAAACATTGTTTACATTTAACAAATACATTTAGGATGTGGAAAAGTGAATTTATACAATGCAAAATATATTTTTTATATTCAATCAAAGTATTTCAACTCACTCAAAGTGTTTGTCTTATGTGTAATTGTGCCTGAAACCACCATGTAATTTATTAGCGTGAATGGAAGAATTTCTTCAAAATTACCTCGAGGAATATTGAGTAATCTTGGGTAGTTTGAATATATTCTGGTGTGTGATTGTAATTTATTAGCGTGAATGGAAGAATTTCTTCACAATTACCTCGAGGGATATCGAGTAAATTTGGGTAGTTTGAATGTTGTCTGGTGTGTGAATGTAATTTATTAGCGTGAATGGAAGGGTTTCTACACAATTACACCGAGGAATGTCGAGTAATCACGGGTAGTCTGAATGCTAACCATACTGTACTGTTTTTATCTTGTTTTTGTTTTTCTACTTATTTGCGTTTGTTATTTATACTATTTTATCCGCTATTGACGAGTCCCTGAGGCGCAACAGGACAAAGAAAAGAGAGAGTTGGTTACCGTTGTACCATAAAATATCGAAACTCAGCTGGAGAAACAAGAGAAACAGAAGAGAAAATAGTAGAAGTAATATGCGAGAAAGATAAGAAAAGAAATGTAAAGCTAAGAAAAAGAGGGCTGGCGATGACCAATGGAGTTTGCTAGTCATACAATTTAAAAAATAAAATATTTTATTATTGAAGCGAACAAGCAACTTCCTTTTAATAATAATAAATAAAAGTTCTATTTCAAAATATATACCCTTTTAACATTTCTTACTCTTGGTCAATCTTTTTTTTTTTTCATCTAAGATTAATACGAGTGAGATAATAATATATAAACTGGGGTCATCACCGGCTCTCTGCATGTTTGTACTGGAATTTGAGGCGTCTTTTTAATATGCACTTATTTGAGCGGCTCGATCAGTTATATGTATGCTTTTATATGTATACTACGTCAATATCCTAAAATGGGAGCCATTCGTTTTTACCCCAGGTTATCAACTACAGAATAGACACAAAACATATATGTATTTACATCACCACATTCATAGAAGTCTTGTAATTCGTGTCGAGAGACTGACGTGAACCTCTTAGAACACTTATGGGGCCTGGTAGAGAGACAGGATAGACATCTACAGCTCATCATCAGGTGATGATGAGCTATAAGCTTGAAATCCGGTTCGTTGAAAACAACTAACTGTGAATAGGAACTATCTTTTTGAAAAGCTCATACAAGTCTGGTTATATTCACTCTCCCACAGTTCTGGATATTTATTCCTGGAGATTAAACAATCTCTTCCCAAGTCGATAACCTAAAATGATAGCCTCATTTGTATCAGGTTGTCAAGTGAAGAATGGACACTAGATAAACATACATATATTTATCATTACCCGATACAAACATAGGTCGTATTCACCCCCCCCCAGAATACATGATATTCCAGCGAACGATGTCTAACCTCTCTCTCAATCATGTCCCATAAGTGTTCTAAAAGGTTCATGTCAGGAAAATGTGCTGGCCAATTCATTACGGTAATCCCCACATCCTGGAAGTAATGGGTGACAACTCGTGCTACATGGGGTCGAGTATTATCGTGAAAAACTCATTGAAGTTGCTGATCATACTCATCCGAACTTAGCATCATAAGCGTTTGACACACGGACGTTTACTGTGGTCCATAGTCCGCCATGTAGATACTTGGTCCCATATAGAGAGCGTGTAGGAATGAAGTACAACAGCGAATCTTCAGGTCCCTTTTTTGATTTTTTGAAGAAACAGGGGAATTTCTGTATATATTGATTTTTTATTGCAGTTAATCTTATTATTTAATTTATATGAAAGGTTTGGTGATAATTATATTTTCTGTTGACTGTGGGGGCGTATCCATAGTTACTGATCTCCTTTCTCTAAATCAGAAAAAAATGGGATTACAACAGTTTCGTGAATGTATTTATAAGCGTGAATGTGTGTGTAGTACAAGAGCGTCGAAAGGATATCATTTTCGAGCATTGAATTCTTCAAAATTATCGATATTTATGACAAAATTTCGCCATTTCGGTTCTGTACATAATGCATAATTCCAAATTCAACATAAAATATCAAACTTAAAACATCGGTACTTTGATGCTGAAATAAATAAACTATAAATAACTATGAGTTTAATTGTAATAACATTTTTTCTGAGTAGATTTTTAGGGTGTGAAATAAAATTGTGAACTTTTCAAATACAAATTGTTTGGAAAAAGACTATTCTTTTTAAATTTGATCTTCATTATAAATTTAATACTTTGTGCAGTTCTGATTATAGTGAAGTAATCGATGAAAGTAGCAAGATAGTTTCTTTTTGTTCAGGGCCGCACATTTCGCCGGTTTTGATATTATTTTTAGTATTTTGCCTGCGTGTTTTTATAAGGAATAAGTCGGGGTTCTTCAAATTTCGTAAACGCGTACAATTTGAAAAATTTCCAGGCAATAAATTTGACCTTGCCCTTTGGATATTTTCCAGGTGATGGCTCACAAGGTCCGTTTCTCCAGCATCCGAGAACAGAAAGCCCTGTCCTGGGGCTTCACCCACCTCAGCTACGAGGTGGACATCGTGAAGACGGTAGAGGAGCTACTTTTCAAAGGATACAGCGATAGCTTTCTCACAATACTCAAATTCCTGCCCAAGTACTCGAGGGAGGTGACAGACAAATTCGGCTGGTTTTATCAGGTGAGTCACGTTATTAATGTTATGAAAGTGGTCTCTATTTAATTCTAATCATCCGACAGTCAATTCATTTTTTTATCTTCCATGTCACGCCATCCTCTTATCTCGTCTCACATCAATAGTACGATTCTCAATATTTGCGTGTTTCATTTGTAATTCATTCAAGGTCTTCTCGATTTCTTTTTCTTACTTTGCGTAACTTGGCAGTATAAACCTTAAATTTTACCAAAATCTAACAATTTTGAGAAGCTAGTTTTTTACCTCAGAAACGGAAGCAGAGATTTGATTTCTTAATTTAATTCGTGGTAGAGCACGTCTAACCTTGATTATATTTTGATGTTTTTGGACTACCCGACTATCTTTATGAGCTACAAGCGTCATCACTGGCCGGGATGAACAATCTGCAACTAAGAAGAAAGAAATCGCTCTCTCTATCTAACTCTCTCTCTCTTTCTCTCTCTCTCTCTCGCTCTCTATCTATCTATCTATACATTTTCTATCTGTTTATATCCCTCTCTTTTTCTTTACCTCTATCTCTCTCCTCTCTCTCTCCTACCCACCCACCCGCTCTTTCTCTCTCTCTCTCTCTCTCTCTCTCTTTCTTTCTCTCTCTCGCTCTCTATCTATCTATCCATTTTCTATCTGTTTATATCCCTCTCTTTTTCTTTACCTCTCTCTCTCTCTCTCTCTCTCTCTCTCTCTCTCTCTCTCTCTCTCTCTCTCTCTCTCGAGCTCACTCCCTGAATCACGTTCGTTCGCTCACTCTTTACTCACTCATAACTCTTTCTTTCTCATTAATTCACTCTCTCTCCCTCTCTATCTGACTCACATTCTCTCGCTCACTGTTTACTCACTTATGTCTCTCTCTCTCTCTCTCTCACATTCTTTTTCTTTCTCTCATTCACTCACTCTCTCTCTCCCCCTCTCTTTCTCACTCATGTCCTTTCGCTTGCTCTTTACTCACTCATGAACGTCTCCCAAACACGCTTTCCCTCATTGTCTATATCTCGGTCTTTCTCTCTTACTCGTGCACTCACTTCTCACTCACTCATTCATTTATCACTTGCTTGCTTCTCATTCACTCTCTCTAATTTCTCAGTCACCACTTTTTCACTCTCTCTCATTCACTTACTCACTACTTATTATAACTCACGCTCTCTCTCTCTCTCTCTCTCTCTCTCTCTCTCTCTCTCTCTCTCTCTCTCTCTCTGTCACTCACTCATCGCTCATTCGCTCGGTCACTCACTCATTCACTATCTCTCACACGCTTTCCCACATTCACTGTATCTCTCACTCACTCACTTCTTGCTCAATCATTCATTTATCACTCGCTTGATTCTCATTCACTTTCTCTAATTCACTCACTCACTCTCCCTCGCCTACTGACTCACACATTACTTATTCTCTCTCTCATTCACTTACTACTTCTTCTTACTCATTATCTCTCACACGTTTTCCCTCATTCACTATCTCTCTCACTTCTCTTTCACTCACTCGCTCGCTCACTCTCTCTCCCTAACTCACTCTCTCTTTCTCTCCTTCTCCCTCTTTCTTTCTATCTACCTAGCACTTTCTTAATCTGTGTGTGTTTTTGCGTCTTTCTATTTTTAACTAAAATCCTGCTGTAGAGAAACGGCTCTTCGACTGCCGATGGCCTCTTTAACATGGACACCGGTTCGACAAACCTCGACCAAGTTGGAAAGATCCGTTCGTGGAATTACAAAAACCACACGGGCTACTTCCAGGGGAAGTGCGGCGAGGTGTCCGGCGGCTCTGGAGAGGTCTTCCCACCCAGGCTGTCACCCAAAGACCGAGTCAGCCTGTTCAGCGCCGATCTTTGCAGGTGAGGATAAAAGAAAAGACGTCGAGGCCGAGCGGATGTTGGGTTTTTATTAAATAATTTGACGTCAAAAGGCGATTTCGACTGTCGCTGTTATCTTTGAAGTTGCGGAGCGGCGTCATGTTTGATTTCCTATCTGTGCTGACTAATCGCGAATCGGTCGATTTATTAGTAAATAATTTACAATCTGTTTTACGAAAGTGCAACATAAAAAATTTAATAACAATTTTGTTTCGATAAGAATATTGTTATCAGTTTAGACTTTTTGAGGTTCAAAATTAAATAGGATAGTTTGAACAAAATTGATATGTTTAGATATCACCCAAGGAAAAATAAAGTCCAATAGCGTGAATAGGCAATAAATGGTCCATCAGTTAAAAATCATCACGACAGAATAATTTGAAGTATTTAATTAATTCCAGGACTATTAATTTGGATTACGAGGAAGATCAAGAACTGGACGGGATCAAAGGGCTCAAGTTTTCCGGAGGTACTGACCTCGTCGACTCAGGCATCGTAGACCCGGAGACGTCCTGCTACCAGAACGGGGATCCAACGCCCCTGGGAGTCCTCAACCTTACGGAATGTCGGCTAGGTGCTCCGATTTTCATATCATATCCGCATTTTTATCATGCGGACCCTAAAGTGCAGAACCACGTCGGAGGGATGAAGCCGAACAAGGATCTCCACAGTTTCGACATAACCGTTGAACCGGTACATTATTTTTTTTTTTTAATATTCAAGCCATTATATTTACCCAAACGAATTATTTTAAATATGAATTCGATAATAAATATTCATTCGTGTCGACATTTAAACTAGGGCTGATTATCAACTCGATTGTATTTAGTAGTGTGAAGTTACAAGGTCAGTTTACATATCGTTTTAAATTTTTAAAATTTTATATTTTAGTGTGGGATAGTCAGAGACTGATCATTTAATTATAGAACTGTTATCAAAATGCTGCCTAAAACTTTGACTATAATAACAATGCTTTACACTGTTAATTATTTTATTATCAGCCTAATTGGTCGGGAACGTTCAACTTTTTATAATTATCACTTGTCGTAAAATCAATCTATTTTTGACTCAGATGTACTAATGATTTATAATTACACAGAAAAATAAAAAAAACACCGGCTCATAAATAATATAAAAAAACTTTTGATATAGAAGTTCAAGAGGTTGTAACCACGTGAGAGTACAATCATCGATAAGATGACTTCTGATGACCGAGTAACGATTTAGCTTGTAATCTCTGTTTTACACCATTAAAAAAACAGTGGGGGAAAAAAGACGAAAGTGCATAACGTCAACGAAGCACTATTTTAAACATTTTATACGTAAAATCGTTAATCAGATATGAATTTTTTTACAGACTCTGGGAGTCCCGATCGACATCAAGGCGAGATTTCAGGTCAACATCCTTCTACCGCAGCTGGAATCATTTCTGTAAGTATATTTGATATAACAGCTTAGAAAAAAAAGAAGTTCGTTACTGATAGCAAAACATTTCGTAGGTCGTTTCGATGTATAAATTTTTCGCCCAGTACACTCGATATTTCTTTTTATAAACAGGAAATTTTTTGTAATAGGTTTTGCTAAAATCCGGCTATTTATAGTCTAATCATTAAGGGGGGGAACTTAGATACTCGCATGTCCTATTCTCATCCTCAGATCTCACCCATCACCAACAACTTGATCCATTTGGACACAGAAGAAGTCATACTAGACAGAAAGTAGCAAAGGGACTGTTTAGGCTGGGCGGGACATAATACAGGCATGATAGGAATTTTATAACGAAAATATTTTTTCTAATTAAAGTTTAAATTTTGTGCAATTTGAATTTGGTTTAATGAAAGTTAAGAATTTCAGTAGAAACGCTGCCAGTACTGGATGGTTTATTGGTAGCTCATAAGTATAATATAAGAAGGAATATGATGCCATGTGCCATGGTCAAAGATGGAATGATGAATTCAAAAATACAGATAAATGTTTAGAAATGAAGATAGGATGCGGGATTAAAGTAAAGGTGGTATCCAATGATGTACAAGCAAAGCTAGCTACTTAATACGTAAGAGCTGTAAACTTCACAGCCAAGGCTGTTTTAATTCACTCCATCAAAAATGGAGTAGGTAAGAATAAGCAAATAAGCTGATATCTACTAAGCAATGGAAATCACTTTGAACGCGGGAAATGTAGGATGGTTTATCGTGTCGGACGTGTGAACTGCAGAAGTACGTTATCTTGAAAAACTTCATTAAAGATAGCATGAATAGGAAATGAAGGATGGTTTATCATGTCGGACGTGTGAACTGCAGAAGTACGTTATCTTGAAAAACTTTATTTAAGATGGTGTGAATTGGAAATGAAGAATGGTTTAGAATGTGGGATGTGTGAACCTGTGGATTCCTTGAAAAAACTTCATCAAAGATGGTATGAATACATATACAATACATCACACCTATCGAGTTCAACATCAGGTTAGGTCAAAAGTACTAGTATAGCAGAGAGCGTCTAATTCTGACTGCTTTCAGAAACTCCATCATTTGGATAGGAATTATGATTATCTGTTTATAACGGAACATAAGGTGAGATGTAATTAGCAAATCTCTCTTTGAGCACAATAAATAAAAGTTTAGAAGGACAGAAGTGTATACTGCAGAAGTACAAAGCCTTGAAGACCTCATCAAAGATCGTATGAATAGGAAATCACCCTACAATCAAATGTTTTTGCGAAGAAGATTTGGGCCGAAATTGGAAGCAAGAGGATTCTCTCAGTGAACGCAAAGAATGAAGGATTGTTGAAAATTTCAAAACTGTGCTTCAGAAGTATGCTGCCTCGAAGAACTTCATCAATGATGGGTGAGTAGAAAATCACGCCCACAGTCAAGCGTTTTGCGCAGAAGATTGGTATAGAAATATTAAGCAATAGTCTCAAGTGTGCTAGATCGATTAGTAAAAGGAGTATGTATAGCAGAGGAGGTTTTCCCTATGTATCTTCATCATTAGCAGTATAGATAAGGTTCTTCTACTTGAGTGTTTAAGAAGATAAGATAAGTCGAGCACTTCTAATCAAAGAAGACAGGCGATGCAGGATGGTGGAGAACGTGTATTCTGCGATACCTTGAAGAACTTGATATAAGATGGTATGAATAACACGACAGACTAATGTTTACTGCAGAAGATAAGGTGAGAAATACTAAGAAATGAAAGTCTCGCATGGGCATAGGCTATGGTTTAATAAAAAATATACCACTAGAGATGGTCTAGTAGACTGTTATGAAGAATATGTACAGTGGTATGATTATACCTACAGACAAATGTACTAAGCATTCGAAGACTCAAATGGGCAGGTGCACTCAACGGTCTACGAGATCTCTCACTGAATTCAGCCAATCTAAGATCGTTGAGAAAGTTAGAAGTGTGTACTGCAGAAGTACGATGCCATGAATAAAAATGAATATGAAATCACACCTATAAATCTTTGAGCAGATGATTAGTTGAGAAATCTTGACAATGGAGCTGTCACCACACCAGGGCGTGAGGATGCTTTTATTACAAGCTGTCAAAAGTTTATGGTGTGTCACCACTGGACGCAGCCAAAGTTAGAATCTACTAGCATGATTCCAAAGAAAAGATGTTCAAAAGGAAATAAAACTCGGTATTCTGCAGGTGCTGCAGGCTCAAAGGATATCTGCATATAATTGGCGTCTATGAAAGAATACATCATGTCGTTTGTCCTGACTTAATTTTCTTCTATGAACGTTGGACTTCAAGCAGGAGGCACCATGGGTCTCATATATTGTAGATAGACAAATTTGAGTCTTTCGATTGCTCAGATCATCTTGATGAAGCGAAATGTGCCTTTTAAACATCCTGTCATGCTTAATTTTTTTAACAAAATCACGTCTAAGTTTTTACTTAGTTTAAGCACTTTTTTAACTTTAATCTTGTTTAGAAATATTGAAATTAATCACATACGTGTTTATTGTTGCAGATTGTTCAGAGACATTCCGGAAAAATACTACATGCCCATTTTGTGGTTTGACCAGAGAGCGAGCCTTTCAGCACCGCTTAGCAACGAGGTGAAGCTCATGGTGGAGCTTTACCACGTAAGCAATTCCATCGCTTTGGGCCTTTTCGTCATCGGTCTCGTCCTGGCGGCAGGGGGTGTCACCTGGGCGTGCAGATCCCTTAACAAGGCCCCGTCCAACAAATTCCTGCGTTACACCGCGGCTTACTCACTGACGACGACGAACCCGAAAAACGATCTGATTGTAGTCACAACGGTGAAACCGTAAATAGACTTTTTTCAAAGACCGATCTCACCTACCAAAACCGACTACTTTCTATTGTATTATAATTTTGTATAAATATTTTTGTAATTATATTAGTATTGATAAAGTTTTAAATTAGTCTATACGTTTTATATTATATCAACTGGTTCATTTTGTATGACTGAGTGAGCAAATGTAAATAATTTGTTTAAAAACGTATAACTCACAGTATTAAAAGGTTTTTAACTTTTTTGATTTTTCTAGAAAATGTATTTATTTATATTCTTATTTCATTCTGTTTGTTTATGTCAATGCTTTGTAAGAAAATATTTAATTTCTAGTATGCTTATTCTTTATTTTAAATTAAAACATTAATTGATAAGAAAAAGGTTTTGTTATTTTTGTACATGACGTTATGCAAACATTAAATATTTTTTATAGATTTAGGAAGGCTAAATTGGACCAATTCAAGTTCACTTATTATTTTAAAGCTAATGTTTATATACAAATTCCGAGGTCGAACGAAGATATATGTATTTTTCAGTGTAATCTCTCTCTCCCTTTTCTTTACCCCGTTGCTAGCCTCCCTGTACCTCAGGTCCTCGCAAAATTGTGAATGAAAATAACACAAACACCCAGAAACCGAGAAACAAGATAAAAACATTACAATCTGATTAGCATTGACAACTACCCCAGAGTGTTCGATATTTCTCGGAGTAATTGAGAATTAACCCCCTCCAATCACGCTAATAAATAACAATTAATTAAGGTTTTTAGTTGAGATGAAACAAAGTTAATGGCACGAGCGGGATTC